GGTGTGTGTGTGTGTGTGTGTGGTGTATGCTGTGTGTGTTGTGTGTGTCGCAGTGTGTGTGTGAGAGCAGAAGACGAGAGAGAAGACGAGAGCAGAGAGGCAAGAACGAGACAGAGAGAGAGAGAGAGAGAGAGAGAGAGAGAGAGAGAGAGAGAGAGGGGGGCGAGAGAGAGATGAGGTCATATTAGTCAGTTATCGCATATTAGGTCGTTCGTTGCCGCTGTAAATCGTGAGAAACTGCCGTCGCTGTCCTAATTGTTGTGTTGTCGAAATGTAACATAATGATGATTTACAGATGTTACATAAATTAGTTAGAGACGCGGAGTGCAGCTAGACTCGGGGTTGTTTTAGTGGTAATATATGTAGACAGAGCGTCGCGCATCTTATTACGGCTACATTGATGTTATAATGAGAATTGTAAACGTGTTTTAGGTCGGACGTTTCTAGGGTCATTGTGAAATGAGGGTAGGCACATAGGGCTGTGGGTTAGTGACATATGTGGCCCAACCACTTCATCATTTCTACATCGAACATTTACGAACATCGAACGTTACAGGACAGACGTTGCCTGTGTTCTTATTCTGCTCTTCTCACGTGCTCTTCTTAGACGCGCGGCCGGTCGCTGTGCGTGCGCGCGATCTCTCTCACGCGACCTTTCAGCTGATTCGCCCTGGTGCCGCTAACGGTACGTGGTACGTGGTAACGGCGCTGGTGGTTACGGTAGCGGTGACAATTAAGCAGCGCTGACGACAGTTTCAATTGTCACTGATTGATTGCTTAACTGCTGCTGTGCACACGCTGCACCGCATTAAGGCGAGCGATCGCCTGCTGACGAGCGGCACGTTCAGTTTTCAGTGTCAATGTGTGCTGCTCGTGTCTTCACTGTCGTCTGCGTGCGTGTGTAAATATATAGATAAATTATCCTCTCTCTCTCTCTTTGGCGGACAGGTAAACCAGTGCACATGCGCAGATGGGTTGGTCTTAGCGTCATCAACGTCGTCTTCAGCATGCTGGCAGGGGTCAGCTACTCCTACGATTCATATGACCTCAATGACGTCATTGACTGCATACAGCAGAACCTGTGTCTGCTTGCAAAGAGCATGGTGCTTAACATGATACCGATACTGTGGTAGGTCTCACGGCAAGTCCCACAGTACACGCTCAACATTCAGTAGCTAGTCTCAGAGTAAGCATATTATAAGCTACGGTGTTTTTAAAGGAACATGGGCGGAAAAATATATCAACGGGTTTTTCGTTCGAACGAAAAAAAATATTATTCGAACGAAAAAAGTTCGTGCGAACGAAAAAATGATCAATCAAAACAAAAACAAGTTCGCGTGTGCACGAGCGTTGACGGCATATTATATTACACGTATGATATTATATCATATTATATTACACGTATGATATTATATCATATTATATTACACGTATGATATTATATCATATTAGCATAATCTGTTCCAGCTAATGGTCGGATAAAATATCATAACTATTACAAGGTCAAATTCTCAACTATTACAAACTCTGTTTGTAACGCTGCTATCTGTTACGGAGACATTGATGCATCATTCTCTGCCAGGTATCTACCGAACGTGAAAAAGAGGTTTAAGTTTGACATCATTTTGGAGAATGTGCGCAAGAAACGCGAGCTGTTCCGTAAGCTGGTGGAACAGCACAAGGCAACGCTGGATCCCCTCAACCCACGTGACCTCATCGACAATTACCTCATCAAAATGACAGACGCGAAGAACAACAACGACACGTCACCGGGATCAGAATATTACACTGGTACGATACCATTCCATCCATGTGTGTGTGTGTGTGTGTGTGTGTGAAAGAGAGAGCAGGAATAATAGAAAGAAAGAAAAAGAGATAGATAGATAGAAGGATAGATAGATGGATAGATAGATAGATGGATAGATAGATAGATAGATAGATAGATAGATAGATCGCTATAGCTACATGCGAGCCAGTATGGATGTGTAAGAACAGCTTGATACTTCATGGTGACAACGGTAGAGTTACCCCCTGTCACTAGGCTAATAGACCTCCATTCACCCCTCGGCCATTTCCCTTAATTTCTCGTGGCATCGGTCGATACCTGCCGAGTGCTTGCGAACCAATTAGATTTAGGTAGATAGGCTCGTACACTCGGAAGGTATCGGCCGTCTGTCAATTTTCGGTAAATTGCGTCGTTGATATATTCGCGGCGTCTTTAGCAGATCATCGCTTCGCCTGCAGGTATAGCCACTTGTTTGTTCGCGGCGGTCGTTGTCATGGCAACGAGGTATATATTTGCTTCGAGAGAAATGCAGGGCGGCCGAAACGACGACAGATGTTCCCGTTCCGGGATCCTCTTCCGGCTGATCGCCAATTAAAAATTCCAGTTTTAATCAGTCGTTGTATTCTAATTTAAAGAGTTCCCGTGTATGCATTATATTCCTAACAACAAACAACAAACGATCGTTCGACTATATGTCGTTATATGCATAATGCACGGATATATTACGACTGTTAAACGTGACAGAAGTCGTGTGCTAACACTTTCTCTCCGATCACGTTGTTAACGAAACGAGTTGCCGTTTTTTAATGAAAGATTGTCTGACATGCAGGCTAAAACTTTTGAAATCGCCGCGAGATATTCTTCCTGAGATGAACAGCCTTATCCCAAATCTTACAACAGATATCGCATCTTGGTCTCACAGCCGACGCCATCTTGGTTTGCGTTGCTTACAATCAATTTGCGGCGCGCCATCGTCTGCCGACGCCGTGATCCAACGAGCGACTCCCACGCGTCTCACGTTGTCCCGGTAACGACGTCGGCAGCTAAGCATCAGCTCTCACACGATTTGGCGCGATGTTACTGGCACACACATATATATATATATATATATATATATTTAAATAAATAATTAAATATATATATATATATATATATAATACTATATGATAACACTGAATAGAACAGAATATATGACTAATGTGAACATTATCGGATGGCGACGCTTGCAGGCGTCATCTTTGCCGAGGGCAACCCGTGGAAGGAGATGCGGAAGTTCACGACGCAGTCACTACACAAGATGATCGACAGACACAAGATGGAGAGCAGCATACAGGAGGAGGCTCTACGACTAGCGACCAAGATGGGAGAAATGAAGGGTATGTAACACATTATGAAAGTGTGTGTGTGGTGTGTGTGTGTGTGTGTGTGTGTGTGTGTGTGTGTGTGTGTGTGTGTGTGTGT